CTATCATTGAACATGAATGGTCCTGATGCCACACTTAAAAGATATAGACTGGCTGAATGGATTTAAAAAACCACACATTTATTGAAACCTCAAAATCTATACCCCCATAATATGCCGAAAAAAAAAAAAAACACACAACTATATGTTGTCTCCAATAAACACATTTAACCCACAGGGCTTCACATAGGCTGAAGATAAAGGGATGGAAAAAATATTCATGCAAATGGAAACCAAAAGAAAGCAGGTGTAGCCATTCTAATATCAGATAAAATAGGCTGGAAATCAACAATGGTATAAAAAGATAAAGCCATTATATAATGGTAAGGAGAGCAATTCAACTAGAAGACATATCAATCCTAAATATATATGAACCTGACAAAGGAACTCCCAGATTCATAAAGCAAATTGAATCAGATCTAAGTAAAGAAATTAACAGTAACATCATAATCATGGAGAACTTTAATACCCCACTGACAGAGCTAGGCAGATCATCAAAGCAGAAAATAAATAAAGAAACACTGGATTTAAATGGGATTCTAAAACCTAACAGACATTTATAGAACATTCTACCCCAAAACTACTGAATGTACATTCTTCTCAGTGCATGGGGCTTTTTCCAAGATTAATCATATTTTAGGCCACAAAACACATCTCAGTAAATTAAAAAAAAATCAGAATCATACCATGTACCTTCTCAGACCACAGTGGAATAAAACTAAAAATCAATTCTGTTAGAAACACTCAAATGTACACAAAGTCATGGAAATTAAACAACTACTGCTGAATGGTCATTGGGTCAATGATGAAAGAAATAAAAAGATTTCTTGAGCTGAGTGACAAAAGGGACACAAGCTATTAAAATTTATGGGATACAAATAAAGCAGTCCTAAGGGTTAAAGTTCTTAGCCTTAAATGCTTACATCAAAAAGAAAGAAAGATCACAAATTAACAACCTAATGGCACATTTCAAGGAACTAGAACAAGAAGAGCAAACCAAACTCAAAGCCAGCAGAAGAAAAGAAATAACAAAGCTCAGAGCAGAACTAAGTGAAATGGAAAAAAAATACAAAGGTTCAATGAAACAAAAAGTTGGTTCTTTAACATGATAAACAAAATCGATAGAACACTAGCCAGATTAACCAGAGATAGAAGAGAAAGGACTAAAATAACCTCATTCCATAACCAAAAAGGAGACATTACAATTTGTAACACAGAAATATAAAATATCATCTGTGAATACTACAAAAACGTCTACACACACACACACACACACACACACACACAATAAAAACCTGGAAAACCTAGAGAAAATGGATAAATTCTTAGAAACACATAACCTCCCAAACCTGAATCAGGACGAAATAGAAACCCTGAATAGGCCAATAACAAGCAGTGAGACTGAAGCTGTAATAAAAAATCTCCCAACAAAATAAAGCCCTAGACCAGATAGATTTACAGCCGACTTCTACCAGTCCTACAAAGAAGAACTGGTACCTATCCCACAGAAACTATTCCATAAGATTTAGAAGCAGAGAGTCCTTCCTAACTCATTCTACAAAGCCAGTATCACCTTAATTCCAAAGTCAGGCAAGGACACAACAAAAAAAGAAAACTACACACCAATATCCTTTATAAGCATAAATACAAAAATCCTCAAGAAAATACTATCAAACTGAATTCAACAGCACATCCAAAAGATAATCTGCCATGATCAAATGGGTTTCATTCCAGGGATGTAAGGATGGTTTGACATATGCAAATCAATAAACATGATTCACCACATGAACAGAAAGAAAAATAAAGACCAAAAGATAATCTCAATAGATGCAGAAAAAGTATTGAATCTAGCACCCTTTCATGATAAAAACTCTCAATAGACCAGGAATAGAAGGAAAATACCTTAAAATTATAAAGGCCATACATTATAAACCCACAGCCAACATCATACCAAATGGGGAAAAGTTGAAAGCCTTCCCCCTAAGAACTGGAACAAGACAAGCTTGCCCACCATCAACACTTCTAGTCAACACAGCATTGGAGGTCCTACTCAGAGCAATCAGGAAAAAGAAATAAATAAAGGGCATCCAAATTGGGAAAGAGAAAGTCAAACTATCCATGTTTGCTGACAATATGATCTTGTATCTAGAAAGCCCTACAGATTTCACCAAAAGACTCCTAAAATTGATAAATAAATTCAGCAAAGTCTCAGGTTACAAAATCAATGTACACAATTCAGTAGTATTTCTATATATTAATAACAGTCAAGCTGAGAGTCAAATCAGGGACTCAATATCATTAACAATAGCTACAAAGAAAATAAAATACCTAGGGATATACTTAACCAAGGAGGTTAAAGACCTCTACAAGGAGAACTACTAAACACTAATGAAAGAAATTGTGGATGATATAAACAAATGGAGAAACATACTATGCTCATGGATGGGTAGAATCAACATCATTAAAATGTTCATACTGCCCAAGGTGATTTACAGATTCAGTGAAATCCTCATCAAAATACCAATGTCATATTTCACAGATTCAGAAAAAATAATCCTAAGATAAATTTGGAACAAAAAAAGATCCTGACAATCAAAACAATCTTAAGTAAAAAGAATAAATCTGGAGGCATCACATTACCTGATTTCAAATTATACTATGAGGCTATAGTAAACAAAATAGGATGGTACTGGTATAAAAATGAAGATATAGACAGATGGAACAGAATAGAGAACCCAGAAAAAATCCATCTACCTACAACCAACTGATCTTCAACAAAGTAAACAACAACATACACTGGGGAAAGGAAGCTCTATTCCATAAATGATATTGGGAAAATTAGCCACATGCAGAAGAATGAAACAGGATCACTGTCTCTTATCATATACAAAAATTAATTCAAGATGGATTAAAGACTTAAATATAAGGCATGACACCATAAAAATTCCAGAAGATAATGTATGAAAAATTATTTTAGGCATTGTCCTAGGCAAAGGATTTGTGACTCAGACCCCAAAGGCAAATACAGCAACGATGAAAATAAATGAATAAGTGAATTATTTATAATTAACTTAAAGGCTTCTGTACAACAAAGGAAATAATCAATAGAGTGAATAGACTACCTACAGAATAGGAGAAAATATTCACAAACTATTCATTGAACAAAGAACTAATATCCAGAATCTAGAAGAACTCAAGCAAATCAAGAAAAAAAATCAGCCCCACCAAAAAGTGGGCAAAAGACATGAACAGAAGTTTTTCAAAAAAACAATAGACAAATGGCCAAAAACATTAAAAATGCTCAACATCACTAATCATTGGGGAAATGCAAATTAAAATTACAATGAGATACCACCGTACCCCTATCAGAATGGTCATTATTAAAAAATCAAAAACAAACAAACAAAAAACAAAAAAAACAATAGATGCCAGCATGAATGCAGACAGAAAGTAATGCTTATACACTGTCAGTGGGACTGCAAATTAGTACAATTCTATGGAAAACAGTATAGGGATTCCTCAAATAATTTTATATATATGTATGTTTTATACACACACCCCACAAACACACACACACACACACACACACACACACACACATACATACACACACCACACACCATGGAGTACAACTCAGCCATAGAAAAGAAATGAAATAATGTCATTTGCAACAACATGGAAAGAACTGGAGACCATTATCCTAAGTGAAATTTTTAGGACTGGAAAACCAAACACCACATGCTCTCACTAATAAGCAGGAGCTGATGGATGGGTACACATGGGCACAAAGTGATATAAAGGACATGAGAATCCATGAATAGAGGAGAGCGGGAGGGTGGGTATTGGATAAAAATTGATGTATTGTGTAAAATTAGCACTATTCTGGTGATAGGCACACCAAAAGCCCTGACTTAAGCATTATGCAAGATATCCATGTAACTAAAACACTTGTAACTCCTTAATTAATATTTTGAAATAAAAAATAATAATCACTTTAAACGTCAATAGTCTAAAAATACCAATTGAAATAGTCTGTTGGAGTAGACCAAAAGGCAAGACCCAACTATTTTGTCTATAAGAAACCCATATTAAATACAAAGACGCATAGATTAAAAATAAAGTGATGGAGAAAGATATGCCATACTAACACTAATCAAAAGAAAGTGGGAGTAGCTATAAGAATTTCAGACAGAGAAGACTTTAGAGCAAAAAGAGTTATCAAGGATAAAGAGAGGCACCACATAATGACTAAGGGGTCAATTCTCTAAGAGGACGTCATTAATAATCCTTAATGTGTATGTGCATAAGATCAGCAGAGATCAAAGTATGTGAGGTAAAAACTGATAGGAATGCAAAGAATAATAGATAAATACACCATTATATTTGGAAACTTCAACATCTCTCTATCAGAAATGCCTATATCCAGCAGGCAGAAAATCAGTAAGGACATAGTTGAAGTCAACAGTCAACTAATTGACATTGACTGATTGACCTTGATAGACTACTCATTCAACAACCACAGAATATATATTCTTCTCAAGCTCACATGGAAAATCCACCAAGGTGCACCACATTCTGAACCACAAAACACACTTTTGTTATATTTGAAAGAATAGAAATCATACAATATCTGCTCTCAGACACAACGTAGTTAAACTAGAAAGCAACAGAAAGATAGCTGGAAAATCCGAACTTGGATATTAAACAACACACTTCTAAATAACACATTTGTCAAGGAAGAAATCTCAAGAGAAATTTTTAAATATTTTAAACTAAATAAAAATAAAAATACAGCTCATTAAAATTTGTGGAATGCAGCAAAAGCAGTGCTTAGAAGTAAGTTTATAGCATTAACTGTACTTGTTAGAAAAGAAGACAGTTCTAAAAATCAATAATCCAAGCTTCCACCTTAGGAAATTAGAAAAAGAAAAGCAAATTAAGTCCAAAGTAAGCAGAAGAAAAGAAATAATAAAAATTAGACCTGAAATAAATGAAATTGAAAAGTGGAACTCAATAGAGAAAATCAACAAAACCAAGAGCAGGTTCTTTGAAAAGATTATTACAGTCCATAGGCCTCTAGAAAGGCTAAGTGAGAACAAAAAAGAAAAAATAGAGAAGACACAAATAACTAATACCAGAAATGAAAGAGGAGACACCACTACAGATTCCATGGCCGTTAAAAGGATAATAAAGAAATATTATGAATTTGTTACCTTGGATGAAATGGCCCAATTCCTTGTAAGATATAATTTTCAAAACTCCCACAAGAATAAATAGATAACTTGAATAGGCCTATATCTACTAACGGAATTAAATCAATTATTAATAACCTTCCAACACAGAAAGCACCAGGCCCAGATGATTTCACTGGTGAATTCTACCAAATATTTAAGGAAGAAATTATATAGTTCTTTACAATCTCTTGTCATAACATTGGAGCAACCAAGATGCTCCTCACTAGGTGAATGGATAAACAGACTGTGGTACAGTCAGACAATGGATTATTATTCAGTTCTAAAAAGAAATGAGCTATCAAGTTATGAAAAGACATGGAGAAAACTTAAATGCATATTACTAAGTAAAGGAAGCCAATTTTAAAAGCCTACATGCTGTTTGATTCCAACTATATGACATTCTGGAAAAGTAAAAAGTATAAACATAGCAAAAGGATCAGTTACCATGGGTTGGGGAGGGAGGAGGGATTAAGAGGTGGAGCACAGAGGACTTAAAGGGCAGTGAAAAAACCCGTATGATACTGTGATGGTGAGTACCTGTCATTGCACTTGTCTCCAAACCTACAGAGTGTGCATCACCGAGAGTGAACCCTAATGTAGACTGTGGACTTTGGGCAATAATGACACATCCACATATGTTCACCAGTTGTGACAAAGGTACCATGCTGGTGTGGGACGTCGCCAGGGGGGAAGACTCTGTATGTGTGGGGGCGGGGTGTATTATATATTGGATATCTCCATGTCTTCCTCTCAATTTTGCTGTGAATCTAAAACCGCTCTAAAAATATTCTATTTTTTAAGAAAGAAATTTTATTCTGTATGTTCTATAAATGGAAAATAAATGTTAGCCATGAGTAGAAAATAACTCCCCCTGTCTTCCTTTCTTTCCATCCTTCTTCCTCCCTCCCTCCCTCCCTCCCTCCCTCCCTCCCTCCTTCCTTCCTTCCTTCCTTCCTTCCTTCCTTCCTTCCTTCCTTCCTTTCTTCCTTTCTTTCTTCCTGAAAAATTCAGTCCAAAAGCCATTAGGTGAGCCAACCAAGCAAGGTAGGTCCGTGTGGGTTGTGAGGTAGCCCAGTTTGAGGTGCCACAAGTGAGGGAAGGAGGACATATCCCCAGCATGGAGTGGAATGTCCGAGTCAGTGTGTGCGAATGGGGGCAGTGGTGATGATGGCCCAATGCAAGGTGTTGAAGCTTGAGAAGCATGAAACACATGCATAAATGCGAGAGGGGCAGTAATGGCAGGGACTTTTGGTACCCAAAGAGGGCAACTGTGTAACCCAGGGTGGAGTTTTGGAGTCCCATCTGGGTAAAGAGAGCATCCATGGGAAGCAGTGGCAGCAGCCAGCACAGGGTGCCAGGTCCAAGCAGGGAGGGCAACTGTGTATGTTGAGGGGTGACTGCAGCAGCAGCTGAAGGGGGACATTGGAGCCTCTGAGCAGGATGAGAGCAAAACCACAATGGGGTGGAGGGAAGATGACCCAGTGCAAGGTGTCAGCACCAAGTAGGATGAGAAGGGTGTCTGTGATGGAGGGATTAGAGACTGGCTGTGTAGGGAGTGGCTCAAAGCAGTAAATACCTTCATGCTAATGGAAGCCAGGTTTCTCAGGGTTGGCAAAGGGAGTTACGAATACCCAAAGGGAGAAAAGTAGAATGAAACCTATGCTTCTGGGTTGGAATTCATATGAATTCATGATAGGTAGATAGCTAGACTTAAAAATAATTATAGAAATTTATATTTACATGTATTTATATTGATAAATGTGTGTGTGTGTGTGTGTGTGTGTGTGTGTGTGTAGAGAGAGAGACAGAGACAGAGAGAGGGCCTGGGAACAGTGACACCCAATAGCAATGAGCACATTTGACATCCAGATCTTGGTTTCTAAATACCATTCTCCACTGAAAGTAACCAGGATTCCTTTGAGAAATGGTTGATGGCAGTGCTGGAGCTGAAAAGTCTGGAGAACCTTGTGCCAGATAGCAACGAATTGCTCAGAGAATGATGAGGACATGTCAAAAGGAGAGAGTACAGACAAGAAAGTCTCTCACTGGTCAAATCTGGGGCAATTTGAACATCAAAATAAATGATGATAGTAAATAAATGATGATGATAAATGATGATTATAACCAATTGAATAAAATAGGAGTCCATGAGTCCATACAGATATGAATAAATAAATTGAGAAAAGATAAAGCTTTTTCTTAGCAGAAGGAATAGAATGATGGAATCAGAAATTCACTATTTGGCAACCACCAAAGTAATGATTAATTCATCCAAGAAACATCAATAGATGCTAAAACAAGTACTTAAAGTTTGACAAGAAACAGAATATTTCCATAGTATCAAAATATCTATAGTATTTATACAAATTTATAAATATATCTATAGTATAAATATCTATAGATATATATAGTATCTATAGTATCAAAATACCTATCAAATGCTTATAAATTATAGAAGATAAAAGAGTAGCTTTTTTATAGTGGAAAAACCTGGCAGACATCATCTTAAGTAATCAGAGTTAACTTCCTCAGTAACGGGGCAAATCAGCATGTGTCCCCTTCCATGGGATGCAGTGAGAGGGACACAGCATCACCTCAGTGATATTTTGCCAAAGATGCATAATCTGAGTCTAATTATGAAGAATTGTCAGACAAATGCAAATTGTGGGACATTCTACAAAATAACTGACGTGTGATTGATATTTACAAGTGTCAAGGTCATGAAAGTCAAGGAAACACTGAGAAACTGGAAGACTTAAGAAGACCAAAGATATACAACAACTGAATACAGCGATCCTGGGTTGGATTATTTTGCTATAAAGGACATTTGGTGCAATTAGTGAAACTCAAATGGGGTCTGCTTGAATGGTAAATTCCTAATTTTGATGGTTGTATTGGGGTTATGAAGAGAATGTCTTTGTTTGTAGGAATTACACAGTCAATCATTCAGGAGTGATCACATGAGCAACTTACTATCCAATGGTTAAGGAAACATTCTGTATAAGATCCTTAAACTTTTCTGTAAATTTGAAGTTGTTTCAAAATTTTAAAAATATCTTTAGTATTTAAAAAGAAAATAACTATAAAATAAATACAATGAAATCAAAATAAAGCTACTTCACTGGCTAAGTCAGTTCTGTTGCCCGCAAAGGGCTGAGAGCCTGCCACCTACTCTCACTTTGTTTGAAATGGAGATTAACAAGTGTTCAGTGTTCACGGCATGCTTACAACAAGCTGAGATTTTCCTGTATCATCAGAAGAGGGAAACAAAATTTAAAAGGAAATAATTTTCTTACAGAATGTCTTTTGTTCTTTTGGGTAAATGCCCAGTGATGGGATTGCTGGATCAAATGGTAGTTCTACTTGTATCTCTTGGAGGTATCTCCATGTTGTTTTCCACAGAGGTTGCACTAGTTTGCAGTCCCATGAACAGTGTATGAGTGTTCCTATCTCTCCACATCCACCCCAACATTTGTTGTTTTGGGACTTTTTGATAAAGGCCATTCTCACTGGAGATAAGTGATATCTTATTATGGTTTTGATTTGCATTTCCCTGATGATTAGAGATATTGACATTTTTCATATGTTTCTTGGCCATTAGTCTATCTTCTTTTGAAAGTTTCTGTTCATGTCCTTTGCCCACTTTTTGATAGGGTTGTTTGATTTTTTTCTTGTTGATTTTCCTGAGTTCTATATAGATTTTAGTTAGCCCTTTATTGGATGTGTAACATGCAAATATTTTCTCCCATTTTGTAGGTTGTCTGTTTGCTCTTGTGGTAGTTTCCTTGGCTGTGTAGAAGCTTTTTAATTTGATCAGGTCCCATTTATTTATTTTTGTTGTTGCTGTGATTGCCTTTGGGGTCTTCTTCATAAATTCTTTGCCTAGGCCAATGTCTATAAGAGTTTTTCCAACATTTTCTTAGAATTCTTATAGTTTCATGCCTTAGGTTTAAGTCTGCACTAGAACATTTATAGCAGCACAATTCACAGTTGCAAAGATGTGGAAACAACCCAAGTGCCCATCAATACATGAGTGGATTCATAAAATGTGTTATACGTATACCATGAAGTTCTACTCAGCCACAAAAAACAATGGTGATCTAGCACCTTTTGTATTATCCTGGATAGAGCTGGAGCCAGTTCTACTAAATGAAGTATCACAGGAATGGAAGAACAAGCACCACATGTACTCACCATCAAATTGTTATTAACTGATCAACGCTTAAGTGCATATACAGTGATAGTGTTCATCGGGTATGGGCAGGTGTGATGTTATTTAATGCTTTTTTGTGTGTTTATCTGAAATCATCCCTACACCATTCATAGTGCTTCACCTACGCCTAGAAAACACTGGAAACTGTTACCCAAATGCATATTTAATAAATGCTGTGCCTAAGTAGATACATAAAGATAACCTGCTTCTCTAATATCTCAATAATCGCTTCTAATAGAGAAATAGAGAAAGAGACAATATCGTGAAATGAAACCCCCAATTTATCTCTGGCCTTGACTCTAACTGTTCATCTCGAATTCTTTCACACTCAGCCAATACAATGCTCAGCCTCCTTCTCCTGGTACTCGTCTTTGAGGCCCACAGTGTCTGCGCAATGTGTCCTGGCTCCAGGTCCCAGCAGGCGGCTGTCATTGGCATCTGCGTGTGTGCGCAGGACCCCACCAGCGTGAAAGCAAAAGCTTCCTCTCCTCCACCCGACCCTGACAGCTGCTCCTCTTCCCCACTCTGCCGTGGTGAGAGCGGTCACTGACCCGGTTTCAAGCCAGGATCCTGGGCATTATTATCCTTGACCCCTCTTCGCCTCCCTTCTCCCTGTCCTCTAGATCTACCCACAGCTGAGTCCTGTGATCCCCAGAGCGTGCCACAGGTGCGTCCGCATTGCCCTGCGTACACCGCCTCCATTCCAGCCCAGGCTCCTAACTGGCCACTCCACTTCCCCCCTGCCCTCTCAATTCATTCTCCAAACTGCAGCCAGAGTGATTTTTTTCAAAAGGTAAATCCACTCTTGTAATTCTCTTCCATAGAACCCTTCAAAGTTATGCTGTCTGCAATTCACAGTTGCAAAGCCATGGAAACAACCCAAGTGCCCATCAATTCATGAGTGGATTAATAAAATGTGGTATATGTATACCATGGAGTACTATTCAGCTCCAAGAAACAATGGTGATATAGCACCTCTTGTATATTCCTGGATAGAGCTGGAACCCATTCTACTAAGCGAAGTATCTCAAGAATGGAAAAACCAGCACCACATGTACTCACCAGCAAATTGGTATTAACAGATCAACACCTAAGTGGACATATAGGAGTAACATTTATCAGGTGTCAGGAGGGTGGGAGGGGGGAGGAGGGGATGGGTGTATACAACCACAACGAGTAAGATGTGCAACGTTTGGGGGATGGACATGCTTGAAGCTCTTACTCGAGGGGGGAGGGGGGCATGGGCAATATAAGTAACCTTAACACTTGTACCACCATAATACGCTAAAATTAAAAAAAAAAAATAAAAAAAAAGTTGTGCTGTCTAATTCAGTAGCCATTAGCCATGGGGGACAATTTAAATTTAAATTAATTAAAATTAGATAAAATTAAACATTCAATTCCTCCATTGCACTAGTCACATTTCAAATACTTAACAGTCATGCGGCTAATATTAGCGCAGACTACAGAACATAGAAACTTTCAGTTGGATAGTGCTGCCTCAGGAGCTTCCTACTGCGTTCAGATAAAATACAAACTTCTTGCTGAGTCTACAAGGCCCATCTTGATCGGCTTTGAGCACCCTTTCCTATCTTCTTGCCTGCCTCTCCACCGATCACCACACTCCAGCCACACTGGGCTTCTATTTCCTCAATCCGACCAAGCCCTTTGCTATCTCAGACCTCGCTTATGGTGTCTCCCTCCCTGGACCACGCCCTCCTTTCTCTGCCTCACTGACTCCTACTTGCCCTTCAGACTTCAACAGCTCTTCCTCAGAGAGGCCTTTCTCAACTTCCCAAACTAAATAATTAGCCTATTACTATATACTCTTTTTGCACCCTATTTTTCTTCTTCTATGTCATTTATCTTATCATGCCCCAAATGATGATGTATTTATTTGTATGTTTAATATCTATCTCCCTAACACCGTTAAGAGAGAGACCCTAATATTTTGTATCTCTATTGCCTTGTATAGTGCCTGACACAGAAAATACACTCAAAGATTATTTAATGAATGAAAAAAGAAAGATTTTATAGCAATGTAAGATGAGAATCTATAAATCTTTTCAGGAGTTAGGTTGTGTATTGTGTAGGTAGCAGAAATCGGGGAAAACACAGTTTTCAATCCATCTTTTTAACCTTACCACTTCCTGACTAAGAGTCTTTGCCTTCAAGACAAATGTTTTCTACTGAGGCAATCCAAGAAAAGGCACTTTATTCTCTTGACTTCATAAGCCAAACTGGGATTGGGAAACAGGAATACATCTTTACTGCCTAATATCTGGGGTCTACACTAGCAGATCTTTTAAGGGCCATTCCTGCCCCAGTGTGTGATACTGTAATTCTCTGTCTAGAAGGCTGGTTCTTCCCATTGGCAAATTTGAAACTAAGTAGCCTACTATAGAGGTTAATTGCACAGAAAATGTAATCCACAGGCCATCAACTTTTTTTCCCTCTCTGTGTTTCTTCTATTAGGCTGCCATATTAGAAATATCCTAAAAGTATCTAAAAGGAAGGAAAACAAGAAACCTAATACCTAAATCATCCATACCCTGGATAATTCACTTTGGAAAAGGGAGCGTAGGTGTTGCCCACCAGAGAGCAAGCACTAGTTGAAGTCATTGCCACAGAGCCCGATGAGTGAAACAAACCATCTCTCCTGTTGCAACCCCCTCCAGAAACTAATGGGTCTCCTACCTAGATGTATAAAACAGCAGAGCTAAAGGGGCACTAGCACTCCTCAAGTCCCAGGACGATCGCTCACATTTGCAGAAGCAGGCCCAGGCTCTGAGGACTCCAGACTGGGTCTCCACGCTTGTGGTAGAAAGTGGTGCCACAGCGCCAGGTAGCAGGTGCACAGAGTAGATTTCACATCATGTTTCCGTGTTGCCTCCCATGTCCCAGGCCCCCATCGGTAGCTACAGGCCAGGTATATATGAACATGATGCTGTCAGCTGATGTCAAGGAAAGCTTCGAGCCACATGCACCCTGTGGGCCTGACATTTGAATCTTGCTTTGGATCAAGTCAGAGAATCAGAGGCGCTCCACTTTTAAACCACACACCTACATCACACCTGAGCCAGCAAGACCTCTCTTATGCTCCACAACTGACTGCTTCTGTTAAACGAGGAAGGGCACAGGATCTCTATTTGGTCATACATCTCCTCCATCGTGACATATTTAATGGAGAGACCAGCTCTTTTCCTCTACGTACTCAGGACCCTGACTTGATTCAGGGCCCAGGGCAAAAAAGTGGCCCTCTTATCTTACCCCATCCATCCGACAGGAACTGGATGCATGTGATCAACCTGGTCTCTCACTCAGAGACACAATAGCCAAAGAAAAGACATCACGTCCTTTTTCTTCCTCTCCTGGATGAATTGATTTGGGCATTGTGGCTGGAGCCTGGGGAAATAAATATCAGAATAATTTCCATACTAAGATCTCATTCAGTCTGCAAATAGTGCTGATAATGACATGGACAATTATTAAAGTCCAAGAGTACCAAAAATATAGTTTGGGAAGCATGGTCAAATCAGTCCCCGAGAGAAGGATCACAGATCAGAGCTAGAGTTGAAAAGTCACTGATGAACCATTCTGTCCTGTTTCTCTCTCCCTGTCCCCCTGTCCCTCACCCCAGTTATTCTCATGGTACACGAAAAGCTAGGAAATGACTGCTCCAATGAAGAAATCTAACCATTTTATCCAAAGAAATATGTTAGGATGCATGGGCCAGCCAGAGGGAGCAAAGAGATTAAATTAATCGCAGTATAATCAACAAGAGTTCAGTTCTACCTGCCAAGGTCACAAGTTATAGGTAGAACACCAGAATCCTTTATTCTGCTACATAAACAGTGGCTTCTCACTGGATTTCCTGCTGCTGGCTTCTGAAAACCATTGCCTGGGCCACCAGCAGTGCTGCTAATTGAAGAACTGGGTATTGGTGTACAGGAATGCCTCCGATTTGTGTGTATTGATATTGTATCCTGAGACTTTACTAAATTCATTTATCAATTACAGGAGTCTCATTTATCATTCATTGATAAATGAATTGATAAATTCATTTATCAATTACAGGAATCCTTGGGATTTTCTAAATATAATATCATATCATCAGCAAAGAGTGAGCGTTTGTTCTCTTCTGCTCCCATTTGGATACCTTTAATTCCACTTTAATGTCTGATTGCTATAGCCAGGACTTCCAGCACTATGTTGAATAGAAGTGGAGATAGTGGGCAACCTTGCCTGGTTCCAGTTCTAGGTGGGAATGCTTTCAATTTTTCCCCATTGAGTATGATGTTGGCTGTGGGTCTGTCATATATGGCTTGTGTCATTTTTAGGTAAGCCCCTTCTATGCCTATTTTCTTAAGTGTTCTTATCATAAAAGGGTGTTGAATTTTGTCAAATGCTTTTTCTGCATCTATTGAAAGGATCATATGGTCTTTGTTTTTGCTTCTGTTTATGTGCTGAATTCCATTTATAGATTTGCATATGTTGAACCATCCCTGCATCCCTGGGATGAAGCCCACTTGGTCGTGATGGATTATTTTCATGATAAGCACCTGCATTTGGTTAGCTAGGATTTTGTTGAGAATTTGTGCATCTATATTCATAAGTGATATTGGTCTGCAGTTTTCTATGTTGCATCCTTTCTGGTTTTGGTATCAAAGTGACATTGGCTTCATAAAATGAATCGGGTAGTATTCCATTCTTCTCAATGTTGTGGAATAATTTCTGCAGGATAGGCACCAGTTCTTCTTTGTAGGTGTGGTAAAATTCGGGTATGAAACCATCTGGTCCGGGACTTTTCTTTTTAAGAAGGTTTTTAATTGCTGTTTCTATTTTGGCTCCTGTTATCGGTCTGTTCAGGAATTCTATTTCTTCCTGGTTGAGCCTACGGAGGCTGTGTGTTTCTAGAAACTTGCCCATTTCCTCCTTATTTTCCAGTTTGCATGCATAAAGGTTTTTGTAGTATTCATAGATTATATCTTGTATCTCTGTGGCATCAGTTGTAATATCTCCTTGTTTGTTCCTGATGGAGCTTATTAGAGATTTCTCTTTTCTGCTTTTTGTTAGTCTAGCCATAGGCATGTCAATTTTGTTTATTTTTTCAAAGAACCAATGTTTTGTTTTATTAATCTTCTGTATAGTTTCCCTGTTGTCAATTTCATTTAGTTCAGATACGATCTTGTTGATTTCACTTCTTCTGCTGGGTTTGGGGTTGGTCTGTTCTTCTTTTTCCAGCTCTTTGAGTTGCTTCATTAGGTTGTCTATTTGTGATCTTTCTGACTTTTGGATATAGGCATTTATGGAAATAAACTTTCCTCTCAGGACTGCTTTAGCTGTGTCCCAGATAATTTGATAATTTGTGTCTCCATTGTTATTAAGTTCAAAGAATTTTTTTATTTCCATCTTGATTTCCTCATTTATGCAGTAATTGTTCAGCAGAAGGTTGTTTAATTTCCACATTTTTGTGTAGAAATGTGAGTTTCTGTTAGGGTTGCGCCAATAGCAGTCAATTGAGAACAAAATCAAAGACTCAATACCCTTCAAAATAGCAACAAAGAAAATAAAGTACCTAGGAATATACTTAACTAAGGAGGTAAAAGACCTCTTCAAGGAGAACTATGAAACACTGAGGAAGGAAATAGCAGAGGGCATAAACAGATGGAAATCCATACCATGCTCATGGGTTGGCAGAATCAACATTGTTAAAATGTCTGTACTATCCAAAGTGATCTACAGATTCAATGTAATTCCTATTAAAATACCAACATGATTTTTCACAGATATATAAAAAATAATTTTACACTTGATATATGGACCTAGAGAAGACCCTGTATAGCAAAAGCAATTCTAGGCAATAAAAACAAAACAGTAGGTATCAATTTACCAAATTTT